GAGTAATTTGTGAAATTGTATTGTTTTAAGAAAACGTTGGTAATTGTTGCTAAGTAAAAGGGGCTAGATACAAAATTTAAAGATAAAGTTGAGTTCTTGTTAAAAAAAAGAAAATCAGTTCTCACAGAATCTAACAAAACTTACACTGAATGTTCAAGACTACAAATAAATGTCATGTGTCAAACAATTTTGGAAGGAAATTTATACTGGCTGAGTAATGAGCATAGAAAGATAAGGAAATCAAGTAGTACTAGCCCCGACACCATTTGTGTTGTTTCATATACATCTTTCTGTGTAGTGTGCTTGTTATTTTACCAAGACTGAGCCAAATTTGTTATGAATTTGATGACTCCAAAACCTTGCAGTACACACCAATGCTTACATGCTACATGATCAACTTTTTCTGATGCATTCCACACCTTTTCTTTCACAATGTAATCGCGTTACCAGAACTAACCTTTATCTTTAAGTTTGTCAAACAACTGGCAAGAGCCCCATTTTCTATTTTATCATGTGCATGGCGCCAATACTTTCTCTTTAACTTTAGTGCTGTGTTGAGGCTCGAACTTACAACCTTCGCATTTCTAGTCAAGTGTTTGAGCCACAAGCATCAGACCCTTTGACACCAATCTATTCCACGAATTAGAAATAGAAACTTGAGGAATAAATCTAAACAACTAGCAATTTCAAACGAAAGTTGAGCCTTCGCTTTTGAATGACTGGATGACACTTCTGGATGATTTCGATTTTGTAATTCTGAATTGCAGCTTTTTTAAACAGATGATTTTGTTTTTGTTATTACAATAATACTGACGGGGAAAAAAATTGAACTATAGTGTTGGGTCACACTAACTGTACGTACAGGTGTTTCTTTCGCAAGTGCAGGGTAATCTATTATTTACTGCTTTCAATCGTTGTGTTTATTTATGGAAGGCTTATTTCACGGGATGTTGTCATATTCTCTCGTACGATTTATGATTCGATCATCCATATAATAAAAGAGAACGACTAACAAAGAAAGTGCCTGGAGCTGTTTGTTGTCACTTCGATGTATGGTCCCAATGTCAAAGCAACAACGTTTAAAAGGAGATTTGTGTTCGAGATTTGATAAGGATCTTGTATATAGTTTAGCAATTGTGATTAATAAAGTACATGTAGAATCACACTTATCAAGAGTGTGCCTAAACTAGATTACGTCTGAGTACTTGGATAAAGAGAGCGCGGAATGTATTTCAACTCTTCCTAAATGGGGCTACACGTTACTGAACCGGGCAAATTAAATTTCAAATTTCTTGAAATTATCAAAATCACGTACGTGTACATAAATTCACCAAGTGCCATGAAAAGAACATACGTTTGAAATAAGGCGGTGTCACACAGAGGCCAAAAATCCGGATTTTAGTTATCCTCTTAATTGTTGTCTGTCATCAATCCCATTAAAAATCCTCTAACGAAGCAAGAAAATTCTTCCTTGAAAGGATTTTTCAAGGGATTTTTCAAGGGATTTTTAAGGAATTTTTCAGTGTGACACTTCTTGATTAAATAAGTAATGCTATAACAGGTATTGCACTCTTCAAGGAAACTTAAATGTATATTTATTCTATGATGGTTATATTCGATGGACTGCTACCTTATATTTTAGCCCAACTTACAAATAGTTAATTAATCAATTGATGAAGAAACCCTATTGACTTGTGTATGGATTTGTCCTCTAGCATAATTCCCGTGTTCGTTATAGTGGCTGGGAAGTAGACTCTGGTTTGTATACATTTTCCAAATGATGGCCAGGGGGCTCCGTCTCTTTCGACCCTGTCATCTCCCAGAAGTATTTATTGTTATGAGTATCCATTTAGAAGAAAAAATTTGCTCGCAGCGGGTTGTTAAATGGTGCATGGTACAATATTTTAAAGACGTAAGTCGTCAAAAGATGGCAACATTTGTGTGAGCTAAGCAACGCTCCATTAACGGGTATTTGTTAAAGATGATGTTTGTTATCGAATTCAAGTTGATTGAAAAGTGTTTCATTACTGGCAGCATATTGTAAATGAAATCGTGCATCACTGTAAACACTTAAGATCTTTGTAAACCCCTAAAAACATTATTGTGATATCTTGCAAACTCCACCTGAACTCTAACTGAAACTACATACATTACAACATGTGTGCTTTTCAATAAAACCAGTAGCCGACATAATAGTTCTAACTTAAAGCTAAACTTTAGTACTGGTAATGCGATTGCATTGTGAAAGAAAAGGTGTGGAAAGGATCAGAAAAAGTTGATCATGTAGAATGTAAGTATTGGTGTGCACTGCAAGGTTCTAGAGTCATCAAAATCATAATAAATTTGACCGAGTTTTGGTAAAGTAACACGCACCGTACACAGAAAGCTATATATGGGACAACACGCATGTTGTCGGGGCTGGTACTACCTTGATTTCCTTGTCTTTCTATGCTCATTACTCAGCCAGTATACATTTTCTTCCAAAATTGTTTGGCACATGACATTTATTTGTAATCTTGAACATTCGGTGTAAGTTTCGTTTGATTCTGTGAGAATTCATTTTCTTTTTTTTACCAGTACTGGAGTTTCTCTTTAACTGTTGAACGCATTTGTTGTTGATCAATATTTTATACATTTTACACGTTCTCATGGCTTTCCCATCCAATACCATATCCTAAGCCGACATATCTGTTTCACCATAAGAATCATATACCGGCACCAAAGACCACAGCCTGAGATAGATAAAAAAAAAATGATAGGAAAAAGGGGGAAATAGCAGCAGCGGCGGCGACAGTGAAAGAGAAAACGGCAAATCACATATAAAGATGTCATTCTGGTGAACGAAATACATGTACTTGTATTTTGAAATGATGCTAGTTGTGTCGAAAATTGCGCCATCAACAGCGCTGAGCTGACGTGTTTTGGCAGATGAAATCCCCGCGCCAAGTCCCCCTGCACGCTGGGGGGATCGAGCCCCCGTGTACCGGCTAAGATCTCGACGATAGCAGTACACAACAGTACACTACAAGCCAAGCAGCGGCTGTTTCACCATCTCCAAAACCCTAGTTTGATGAAGTGTGACTGTGAACAAGTGTCATGAAATGTTGGAGACCTCGTTTTTCTTCCTCGGATGCCTGCATCATCTCATTATATGTAGCCTGCCTGCCACTTTGATTTTTGAAAGTACACCACGTCGAGAGTATACGCATGTTTCATTTTCTTGCGATGAATGATAAGAGATTAAGACAACAAATTAATTCAAGTTATAATCAGTCTGCAGTGTAGGCAGGCTAAAACCGTGATATTGAACATTGAATCGTCTTGTATTGTTTCCCAATAAAATTCCACGAATGTATTTAGACACTAATGTTCTCCAAAGGCATGACAGAGGTCCAGAACATCTGACTAAAAAACAAGGCAAATGAACACACACCAACAAATTTGGTCTGACTGTTGTCGATTTGTACCGTTATTAAAAGTGATATATTTTGTAAACAATTTTCTTTTATCGTCTATTTTGCCATCCAGGGTCAAAAAGGGGTAAGGTATTAAAAAAGTAGATTCGTACGGTAAGCGACGTTTTTTAAACATGAAGTTTAGTCCTGTACACTTCCCTTTTAGTTCTACCCTTGATTCTACGATAAACAGGATATCGAAAGTTCTATAAAGGGAAAATATGTTTCCTCTTATCTTTTCTCGAAATCTTGGCGACATTTGAGGTTCGAAGTAGTGATAGCGATTCGGTTTAATAATCATTATTCCAGTTTTTCTTAAAGACAGTGTAGCATCTTAATTTCTACGAAAATAGAACCATTTTTTGTTGTTTTTTGTTCCAGTGTCGTGTGAGCTCCGTTTATCAAAGTCATTTTCAGAGTTCCCCTCGATCTCGGCAGAAGACTCGACTCGATTGTAGTATCGCTTTCGTGATCATTGCTAACGATAATAATCTCCTGCTGATTTTCCCGCGTGATTCAGCGGGCAGAAATGACCAACAGTCACGTCTGACATCTTCAATCTCAGAAAATAGAAAATACGAAAAGTAAACGAGTTTGTCTTTCATTTCAAATCTTCTTCCCAAATTTTCTGCATGTCATGCCTGCTGATCTATTTATTCCACGTATTATCCTTCCCTCCCTCTTCCACTTCTCTCTTTATTTCTCTTTCTCTTTCCTTTGCCTCTCTCTCTCTCGTTCTTTCTCACAAAGTCAAAGCTTTGTGGATGTGGTTCTTGGAGAAAGCAGACGGTAAATGTTGACACAGTCTCTTGTTGGTTATTTCTGAAGACAAAGTTCTTCGAAAGTTCGTATTGATTTGAACTATTACCCTCTTGTTCATGTATTGAATGAAAGAAACGTTTTATTTTAGACCACGCAGCCCTGAAGCGGACAGACATATTCATATTGGTGTTTTAATATACCGGACATCTGAAACAGCCGACAGGGAACATGTAGAATTGGGATGATGCAAAATATGTTTTGTAATGATAATGTTTTCGTGACCTACTTATCACCAAAGCAGGACAGTGTTTGACATGAAATTGTGAAGAAAATAAGGGCCTAGCTCGGTACATATTTTGCACAATTCAAACTCAAAGAGTGTTTTGTTGAACAAGGAATGCAAGATGGCGAATATGTTCAAAGAGTTATACATTTGATTTTGAGCCACGACGCCGTGCTAAAGACGCGCTCACAATATTAAAAGGTGAAATCACATTAGTTGCTTTTATTACAGCAAAGTAGCTTCTGTATGTAACAAAGGTCTTTCAAGTTTGTGTGCAGCAATAGCATTTCTTTTATTTTAATTCTAACGTCAGAGTTTTGGAAATCCGTATCAGCAGTATTCGTTGTACGCCAACAACTACAACGTGGACAAGGTAGTTCATACTTATTCGTACTTTAATCCTGGGATTCGCAATTAATGAGATATTGCTAACGGCATTATGATACATAATAAGAGTAGGCCTAAAATCCAACCTCTTTTCTTTTGTTATTGTTTTATAGGACCAAACTGGACCGGATCCACTTTCCGAGATCTTCTTCAAGAAGGAGCCTTCGAGCCCTTCCTCGACGTCGAGTGACAGCAAGAGCCGACGCGTGAGTGCCTCCATGATGGAGGATTTTTTCTTCGATCCGAAGTCGTCGACGTTCGGCGACATCGACAACGGCCATGGCTTGGTCGGCAATGTCCTGATGAACCCTAGTGTGCATCAGTTCCCCCACATCAAGGAGGAAATGGACTGTGATTACCAGGGGAGTGTACCGTGTGTCCAGTCCGAGTGCGGCCCCATGCGGGTGCCTTCTACTCCGATTCCCTGCAGCAATGGCGCTAACGCCAATGCAACAAGATTGTCCATGAACTTCCAGCACAGTATGGACATCGTGAATAATAACAATCAGTGTGGCATGCGTAGGATGTCAGTGTGTAGTCCCGATTCATTGACATTGGGTGGGGTTATGATCAAACAAGAGCCCCTGGACAATCTTCCATCCCCGTGCAATATGCAGTGCAACCCGACCCCCACCAACATGCCCATGGGGGTACCGCCGACGCCCCCTGATATGTGTGCGCTGGCCATGGAGACGAAACCAATGATGCAGCACTCCCCGACGTTTCACCATCACCAGCAGAACCAGGGACCAGTGTCTAATTCGTTCACCTTTAATATCAACTTGCCACCCATGGACCACCACCATCACCACCAGCAGAATAACCAGCACCACCAGAACAACCAGCACCTTCCACCACACCACCACCACCATCACCATCACCACCACCAGCAGCAGCCGCACCACCAGTCCTACAGCGGGTTCCCTCCGACCCCGCCCAACTCTCATCCAGGTTCGCCTGCTGATATTCCCCTGGGTCTGGAGGGGTCGGCCCTCTGTCTGAGACCTCCTCCGCCGCCGTATCCTGTAGCTGTTGCAAAGGGTGGTCAGGTGTCCCCCTTGACCAGCTCCACCAGCCACACCCACAACCACGCCCACAACCACACCGGCCAGTCTCTCAAGTACAACAGGAAGAACAACCCCGATCTGGAAAGGAGGAGAATACACCACTGCAATTATCCAGGTGAGTCCAAAATCAAACAAAAAACGAGGTAGATAAGTTAACAATGAACAGTTTTTTAAAAGATACCGTACACTCTTGATATCCCAAAGGCAATGCGCCGCAACAGCTTCCACCACACTTTGTGGAATTCCGAATTAATGTTTGTGCAAATCTTGCACGCAGCGAAACTCGTCGGCCGTTTTGAAATTACTCGGAGCAGTTAGGACATCGTTCAGATATTTTGTCTGTAATTACAGTGTGGTAATAATGCTATTATGGAACGTTAGATGCAGTTACAGATAAACGATACAGGATTGTTTATACTACCAAGGAAATCAAGTTTTGACAGTTAGGCTACGTTTGACCTTTCTTCGGTTGAATTATGATCGAAACCTCGCGTTTATTGTGTTTTCTCACTTTCGCGAAGTGCCTTTAAATCGTCACCCCAATTGAGCTGTCAATTGTCAGGTACACGTGTATATTCCGAGAGCGACATCGTGACCGAAAACGAGGGATGATAGAGAGAGAGAAAGAAGATAGAGTGTTTGGGTGATAACCTCGAGTTTCTTTTGGAGGGGTTGACCCCAAGAGGGGCTGAGTCGATAACCTTTTTATTTTGGTGGGGTCAGAGCCCAGAGGGGCGGGGTCAAGGCCTGGAGTCATCAATCTTCACTCGACATGCAAAGGGATGGGGGGGGGGGTGGAGATAGAGAAAGAGAGAGAGATAGCTCTAGAGAGAGAGAGAGAGAGGGGGAGATAGAGAAAAGGAATGGGAGGGAGCGTTGGGCAGATGAGTATAGGAAAGCATGGAAGTAGAGAGAGAGAGATAGAGAGAGAGAGAGAGAGAGAGAGAGAGAGGGAGAGAGAGAGAGCGAGAGAGTCGGGCCGAGTGAAGATTTTTTCCTTGTTAAAATAAATTGCATCAATTACATTTATATTCTCTGTGACTGTGAGTGCGAGTATTATCCTGACAAGTATAGACCCTGTACCCTGGACAATCGAGGATTCATGCAATTAATTTTTTCATGGTTTTCAACACATGTTTTTTATCCACTGACCCCCCCCCCCCCCACCAAAAAAAACAAACCAACAACTTCAGAAACCTTTTTTGTTTGGGGGGGGAGGAGGGGATGAATCTTTTTCGAATATACCAAGTGGATAAAGTATGGAAAAAACTAAATAGGCCCATGGATTATTAAATGCAAAGCCAAATTAAAGTAAATCATATTCAGGCTTCCTTATCTTCCTTATAAATGACATTTAGCGCCCTACATATTTCGTGTAGATCTTATATAGCAGAAGGATAAATATAGCCTGTAGTATAGGTGCGATAGCGTGGAGATCACTGGATGCACAGAAGATCAAGGTCTTCTAATTTTGTAACCCTTTTACGCAAAGAATACCACTGAACTCTCCGAATTCCATAATTTAATGATTTTATTGTTCTTTGTGTCGCGCCAAGGTAACTCCGTATCCAATCTATTCCATTCAGTATTTTTTTTTTGGCTCAGGAAGTACGCTACTGTGGTTTGCAAATATCACACAATAATAATAAACTACCCCTATGGGCGGTCACTCGAAGAATAATGCGTTATGAAAACGTGAATCATAAAGTGCCCGAAGGTTGTATTCAGGAATCTTTATTTGAAAAAAATGAATTGAAAAAATTAATACGGATCTGTACGTACTAGTGAGGTTGTTTATTGGGTTATTATTTCTTTCTTTAATGGTAACTTGTTTTCCGTTCCACTCTACCTGTTTTTTAGCGTTGAAGGTCAGGCCAATGACAAAAGCCTATCATTATAGAGCTTCCAAACATGCCATTAGTTTGGGTTGAGTCGTGATTCTGATATGATTAACATATTTTTTTTAATTTTTGACTCAGTTCGAAGTGATCTTGTTTTGGGTTTTTATTTAGACTTGCAGATTCGAAGTAGAGATATCCTTGATGAATTGTAAACTGACAAATGAAAATCCACGTCCATCGCCATGATACATTTTATTGCCCTATTTCTAGTATAGCCGGTGAATTGCCGTCTGGTCTACTACTCATTTCGTCTACTTATCATTTGGTCTAATGACCATTTAGGCTAATAGCCTGTTAATACAATTTCCATTCGTCTACAATCCATAAGGTCTAATAATCGTTTGATGATTATTATTATTAACAATTAAATGATTATTAGAATATGTGGATAGTAGACTGGCTTGGTGTAGACCATATAGGAATAGACCAAGTGGGTATTAGACAAACTGGTTGTAGACCAAACGACTATCAACCTTTCTAGCCCGAGTTTGTGTTTGTTTTCACGACCTTCCCCATGTGTTTGTCAATATCTACATAAACTTGTTTGGTTATATAAATAATTTGGTTTAACGTTTTCAAATTGACAACAAGACTTCAAACTGCATTTAAATCCCAACGGATTCTCCAGCTGTTTTAATTACCCACTAATTAGCAAGAATGTAATCATAATGCACCACGCGTATGCAAATATAGCCAACATTTTTCGGATGATGATGGTAGCAGGTTTCTCATGTTTGCTTTTGTTTTGTACTGCGTTTGCAAGAGGGGATCGGGGCTTGTAAACAATGATATCACATTCATTGGTTTTCGTTCAGATTACCCAAATTGTAGCATCATGTAAATTGGTTCAGATGGGGGCACATTCATGAACACGATAGTCGTATCAATATTTCGTCACATCTACACGTTCATCTTTGTCCCGCCTTGTCTCGTATGTCAATTACCAAAGTAAATGAATCCGATACGCTAAGTAATTAGCAGACGATCGATCACGGGCAAAGAGGTGATCGGATGAAAATCGATTGACGTATCGCTGAATACGAGACGCTGTTGATGATGTATTGACAATAAGCCACCTGGCCTTCTGCTTTCCTAAAACAAAAGACTTCCCAGAAGTCTTTACTGAAATGAAGACAGTAAACCAGCGCTGTGTGTTCGTGGTTTGGCAAAACTTTTGCCTCTCTGCAACCCTTTAAACCTGCCACAGTTATCATCATCTCCTTTCTAGTTCAATATTTGTCGATGGGTTTTGGAACTGGAACATGAGAAAGGCGGGAGAAAGAATCAATGATCCCGTATTGACTTCCATGTATTGCTCCGACAAACAAACCAACTCTGGGGAATAAAAGACAAAATGGCGAAGACAAAGGAAGGTGTAATAGAGAGATGTGAAGATCAAATTTGGAGAGAAGGTTGTTTGCTTGATAGTGATATTTTCTTTGCATTATTCTGATCAAGTTCACTTTTCTCAAAATTTGTCTTGTTGACATTTCGACAGTGATAGGCCAAGCCCATGCATGGAAGTTTTTTTAAATTTATAAATCTACACGTAGCAGTGTCATTTCAGAGTTGAAGGTCGAGGTCGCGGTCCAAAGACCAGGACCAAGACCAAGACCAGGACCTTGTTTCCGTATTTTTTTTGTATGGACTGTCACCAAATTCTTAAATTCAGAAATATGAAATTATTAGTGATGATAACTTTTATGAAATGTGCAGGAGGAAAACTTTTTGATTACATGTACTTAGCATTAAATCTCGGCATCGAGATCAAGACAGAGTTATAAAGGGAATACGACGTCTAACTGGTCACTATATGACGGGTACATGGTTAAGGTTCAATTTCAAACACCAAAAGGAATAGGAGGCATGATACCTCATGGACCATATAAGGGTACAGGTTCTAACACCTTTGCAGTCTGAACCTTTAGAAAGCGTTTACACTGCACTCTCTGAGAAGTTTCGATAGTAAAATGCACCTTTAACTCGGTATGCAAAGTGGACTTTATGAGCTTCAATATTGAATTATGTGAAGCTATTTAAAGTTCAATGCCAAATCTGTATTTTTTCATTATGTAGTGCAAACAAAAAATAATATTAATTAAGCCGGATGATGAATTACCTGTGCTGTCTATCCGTCTGCACAACACCACAAACAATGCCTCCCAGTCCTTTCTGAGAATGTATAAAATTAAAACATACCAAAGTTTTATTCAGGGAGTTGGCATACAAATAATACAATAACTCGTACAAAATGAAAAATTCGAATTTGTGGGCGGGGTCACAAAAAAACATTAATCACGTCTATTGTTAGCGGGATGACGCATCGTACATTATAATAAATTACAAGAATGAGAAAATAATGCCGCAATTTAATACCACGCGTCGTCTGAAATGAAGTTGTCGATAAACAATTGACAATAGATGTAACTTTCTGTGATATCCAATATGAAATCGAGCCTGACAAAATAAATGTTTCCATTCAAACGTGATAATCTATACATAAATCAAGATATTTATATGTTGATATTATGATAAATGAAGTAGATACAGAGATAGAGGCAGGCAGGACAGCTGAAGATAGAGAGAGGATAGAAGAAGATAAAGAGATAATTTTGTGGATGAAGAGGGAGAGGCAAATAGTAATTATACTACAACAACTACTACTACTTCTACTACTACTACTACTACTATAACTACAACTACTACTACTACTACTACTACTACTACTACTCCTCCTATACAACAACAACAACAACTACTACTACTACTACTACTACTACTACTATTACTACTTATACTTTTATAAGTCTTAAAGTAATAATAATGATAACACTAGTAATGATGATGATAATAGTAATGATGATGATGATAGCAACATCAGCAATAACAATGATTTCTACTTTTGTATACAGTATAGGGCGAAAAATATTACGTTTATAACCACTTGGTGCTATTGTAATGACATGTTAATGAACTTGGACGGTTCAAAGGCCTGTCAAGGATAGATGAACATGCATTATGAATTTCCAAATATCCTACATTTTTGTGGTCATTGCTCTCTCTCTCTCTCTCTCTCATACTGTATCATGTCTATCCTGTCTTTCTGTTTCTATGTTTGTCTGTCTGTCTGTCTCTGTCTCTATCTCTCTGTATATATATATATATATATATGTATATGTCTTTCTATTTCTCTCTCTCTCTCTCTCTCTCTCTC